TTCACATAGAACGATTTCTTCGAGTGTTACTTCTAAGAGATATAATTGACGAATCGGTTCGGGTATCTTCATGAATAATCCCACACGGTGAAGTTTCAACTTTCAACTACAGAATCGCTAGAGGCCCTCACATTTAGAGCCCGATTTTATGACAGATCCCCAAAAGCATATAAAACGTCTTAAATTCATCTCTAATACAAGGCATAAATGACGTATAATCGACACAGTGAAGACATATGAGCCTAACTTGCAACATTTCAGACAGATGTATACATATATTTATTATCTGAACTTTCGCAGACAAATACGGGAACTCGTCGAAAACTCCCGCATTGAACTTAGCTCATGTAACATTTTGACTCATGTATCATGATTTCCTATGTATCCTAGGCTTACTGCAATCAATGAAATATTTTTGTTTTAATGTGCGCTTTGAGTTGAGATTCCAGATCGTGATCACCGGAATCTATTCTGTAACGAAGCAATGGTGAAATTTCCTTTATTATTCTTAAATGTTATGTTCGACAGTATTGGCCCATCGTTTCCGTGTCTAGGGATCAGAATAATCTGTGCTGTCTTACGAACTATATCATAACCCTTTGTAACCCTGTTTTTCAATCGAAATTTTATATTTGTCTTTTAAATAATTGTATCATATATGCGGTTGTTAGAGCTTATTAACATATATCATATTCTAGTGGTATGGATCCCACTTTAGCACACATAAAACTGCCAACTAGTATTTTACCCTACAAATGAGAACCAGTTTATGTATCATCAAAAAATTTACTAACAGAAAGTCAAACTAGTTGCGTTCTATGCTCCAATTTGTTGATTTCTCTGCATCCACATTACACCATGTGAACGTGGTGAGCGAGTTGTTGATTTTCATTTCGCGTTTTGCATGAAACACAGTTTATGGCTTTGGAAGAGTACTCAGAGTGCGTAGTTATTCCTGTGAATGAACTGTTTCCTCACATTCACAAATATAGCCTGGTTTGAGAACTTTGGCAAATTCAGAGAGAGAGAAAGAGAGAGAGAGGAGAGAGGGAACGAATGGCTTTGCGTGGGCGAGTGTCTGGCTAAATTCGCTCGCTTCAATGATTGCATACATTACATGCGGAAGTACATACATGTATGTATGCACATAAATATTTACAGCAACTGGTCAGTCTGCTAACATATCTATATACATATATACATACTCATTTTATTGCGTTTTTGTTTTGCGTGCGTACAAGCTTTTATTGTGTTTGCTTTGCCTTTGCCGCTTAACTGGTAATGTTTTGAGTTATTGTTTAGCAAATGGTCAATAATTTTATTTTACAACTTGAACGTTTGCATAGTAGCATACCAATGTGGTGGTGGTCCGCTGCACATTACACTTCTACTGCGTCGCATAAAAGGACGCGATAGCTCGTACGTGTGTGTGTGTTTGTATTCCTAGCAAAAAGGCATCAATTATTTATGAGTATTGCAGCAATCAACAAAATCGCTTAATGCTTTAATATTTGTAAATACTCTTTCTTGCTTATGTATGTATGTATATAAACAGATATATTACGATTTTACATATAAATTGACTTTTATTTCATATCTAGATTTTACTATGTAAGGCTCTCATGGTGAATTTCTTTAGTCTTCAAATAATAAATAATATTCCAGGGTGGTAAAGAACGTGTCACGTAAATCTTATAGCTAAGACCGCTAAATTTAATTTTAAAATAATTTTGTATGGGAAAGTTATTTGTCATATTTATTTTCGTACGTCATTTGCACCCTTCTTTTTCGAGTGGCAATTCCATAACAGAACTTTTAAGGCAATATTGATTATGTTAGCTTATTAATGATTTACTGATAAATAGTCTAAGGGAAAAAGTACTAGTACAATCCAAATAGTTTACATTTTTAAATCTTCTAATTTATTATCCATCTATTTTCCATGTAAGCAACTGGAATTTTTACACGGCGGCGCCCTAAGAACTGTAAATTGCTAGTTTATGCATCAGCTTCATACCAATTTAATACCAGTTCTTATATTTATATTTATTTGCCGCCTTACAACCGCTAAAACGGCTTCCAACTGAGCTCCTCCTCCAATTTGTGGGTTTTCCGCCTTGATGTCTTTCCAACAAATGAAGAGAGAACCAATTCATGCATAACAGCTTAAATACTGGTTCGTTCATATCAGTTAAGCAACACACTTGTCCACATTATAATAGTCAAAAACCAGTTCAATTGATTCCAGTTGGTGTGGTATATTTTGAGCTGCTTTCAAGAAAATAAACGTTTGATTCGGATGTCTGCGGTGTACAACTGGACCAATTGAATACATCCATCAAACAAGAAGCTAACGGTATCGGTCAATCGTTTCTATATTCCACCAGGAGAATGCTAGACCGCACATATCTTTGGTCACTTGCCAAAAACTGAGAGCACTTGGCTGGAAACTGTTGATGCATCCAGCTTATAGCTCTGTCCTTGCACTGTCAGACTACCATTGTTTCGATTTTTGCAGGTTTTTGCAGATAAAGGTCAGAAGTTCTATGAGCGTTGATGATGTTGCCGGAAAGATGGCGAAAGGTCATCCCACAAAATGGAAATTACATAATTAAGTAAACTTTATTACAAAATTTAAAAAAATCCATTTAGCTTCTATTGAAAAATCGCTGGTTTCCCTTGGGGCAACTCAATATCACCGAAGTATACCAAATACTATAATCTATGACGAAAATTTGCAAATTTTTGTCTTTGAAATACTAGCATTACTCTGGTTTATGGCAAGCTGGTATAATTTATATAGCCCCTTACTCTTTCTCTCCCAGACCTGACAGCATGCCCATGTTGTATCATCTGAAAAGCTTGAAGTTTCGGACACCCATTTCCACTGTCAGACCTCAAACTATTGAAGACTTAATGTACTGAATAACGGTCTTCAAATCTGGTCATGTCACAATTTTTTCTCACTGCCGCATATGTAAAACGGATAAGGCACAGAAGAAGAACTTCATAATGTAGCACCTTACGACATATCGTAGAAGGACATACCGGCGAGGAGGCATCTAACCACAATCCGAAGCTATTAACCAAATCCCTGATTTATGCCAACGGAAGAGAAAGATATTGATATTCAATCGAAATATCTTATGGTCATCATTCAGAAAAGACAATATCCACAATGGCACGCCTCCAAACAGACTGCTGCTGATCGACCGTTAACGGGTTGTCTGTAAAGTCATATTCTCACAAGGCGAAGCTCATCAAAATAATTATATATTAACTTCTTTGCAAAACTTTGTATAAGAGCACTGACGGTTGGAATCATTGCTCCCGTCCTGCAGTAGGGTGCGAAAGCATGGACGATGACAACAACTGGTGAGTGGACGTTAGGTGTTTTCGAGGGACAGGTTTTGGGTAAGATTTACGGTCCTCTACGAGTTGATAGCGGAGAATACTGCAGTCGATGGCATAACGAGATTTATGAGATATACACCTACATTGACCTAGTTCAGCGAATCAAGAAACAGCGGCTACGCTGACCAAATCATGTGGTCTGGATGAATAAAAAATACTCCAGCTTTGATAGTTTTCGTTGCTCGCCGATGGTCGCAGAGGAAGAGCAAGATCTCCATTCCGTCGTAAAGACCATGTGGAGAACGAACTGGCTGTGCTTGGTATTTCCAATTGGTTTAAACCAGTGAAGCAAAGCCAGGAGTTGTGCACTGTTATTACAATAACTCCGCTATAATAGCGTTAGCGAAGTCTAGTAAAGAGGAAGAAGAATGTTTGAATCGAAATAAAATCTATCATTTTTCTTCATAAATGAAGCTATTACTACCAATATTTCTAGTTTTTCTTAGTTTTGCCCTTTTTTCTATTCTTTTAATTTTGTGCATTTTTTATTGATTAAAACCAGACTGACAACTGCTGCGATTTCCATGCATTTAGCAAACTAATTATTTTAATGTAAATAGTCAATTAAAGGATTCATGCGACTAGTTTAAAGAGGCGTACTAGGCTGGGGTTTTGAATGAGTTGTGAAACCATATCCAGTCCAGCTTTTGCATACCTTTTTCTAATATAAAATACTTTTTAAGCTACAAATTGTAATTTCAAAAGTGCTGGGATGAATTTTGACACCGAACAAACAGAAGGGTCAAACCAATCATGTTTTGTTTTTGTTCAAAGTCAGGCATTAATGAAAACGGATCGCCAAAAATTAGCAAATCCTGCTACAAATATAGTGATTTAAACTTGGCCATGTTTGAGAAAAATTTTCTTCACCGTCGAGGCACATTTGACTTGAGCAATATGTGGTTTAAACGGGATGTTATCTCACGTTATATAGCACGACCGATTATGGCTTTACTATGAGAGAAACTTACAGGCCGCATTTTCACGTGTCTTGGCGATGTCAATTGGGCACCGATATCGTGTGATTTAACGTCGTTAAGTTTTGTTTTTGTAAAGCTAAGCGAAAGATCGTGCTTATGTGAAAACAACGTTCTCTTTTGAGCGCTAAAACACCAACATACTTCCAGTTATGGCTAAGATACCGCCGAATAATATGCGCCAAAGTGATTTAAAATTACTTACAACGTTTTGAGATTGGCAAAAATTCAGAAGGCGTTCATTTGATTGGTCTAGTGTTTCAACGATAATACCAAGGTTATAATTTTGGGTTAAAAAAAGGATTTCATGAAAAAGAGCAAACATTTTTTTTGTTTCGCATAACAATTTCTTAAAAGATTTGGGATTTGATTATGATAACAGAACAAATCTGCAAAAATATGTTTAAAAAGAAAAATATGTCCCTTCGCAAAAATATTATTCTCCACACGTTTTTTTTTAAGATATTTGAAATATTTGCTAGAAGCTAAAGCATGAGCTACGCCTCTGCAAAAGTATGCCACCTATATAAAGCATAACAACCAACTCTTCTCAACAGTGGTTGACCCAAAGTCGAATTGAGTACGCTTTCAGTTGTTGCTTTTGTCGTAATGGCGCCATATTTCCACACCCGTGAACCAGCAGCCACTATACCCGATTTCGTTGGAATACCATTTTTTCTAATAAGCCTTAACGGTATGCAACTTTTTAAATGGACACCGAATGAAGAGGCTAGTCGACGAAAGCTGTTGCTGATTACCGCATTCTCGGTTATCGTGACTTACGATTGTGTTTCTATGTTGTCAGTCTTTGCATTTGTAAAATTGGAACGTTTGGACTACACCACATTTGCTCTGTATTGGGGCTATGCGCTAAACTCATTGATGAAAGGCGGCACCTTATGGTTTGGACGTCGTCAATTGGAATTCATACTCAAAAGTATGGTGGAGAAACATCCAAAAACGATTGCGGAACGTCAGGAGTATCACTTGGTGGCATATTTCACAAAAATCAAATCATTTAATAAATACCTGACAATTTTCCATTTGTGCACAACGTCACTCTTCAACATACAACCAATGGTGTCGTCGATTGTCGAGTATATGGGTCGGCAGGATAAAGAGGAGGAGTTCAAATATAAGCTTCCGTTCATAATGTACTATTATTACAATGAAAGGCAACCCGTACTTTATTTATTCAGTTATTTTCTACAATGTATGGGCGGCTTTTATATGTCTTATTTATTCTTGGGTGGCGATCTGTTGCTTATGACTTTAGTACATTTGGTCAATATGCATTTCGAGTATTTAATAAGGCGTATCGAGTCACTGCAACCAACCGAAGACAGTGAGAAGGATTTGAATTTGCTAGGTCCGTTGGTTACTTATCATCTCGAAATTCTGGAGTAAGTATGGCGTTTACGTCTTTTTATTTGCTGTCTAACTAATTTTCCTTTCTATCCTTAGTTATGTAAAAAAAATTGATGCCACTTTCAGCCTCTCCATATTGTTAAATTATATAGCTTCATGTTTATGCCTTTGTCTACTTGGTTTGCAAATTGTGATGGGCAGTGATTTAGTAACTGTGGTGAAGTTTTTTGCCTTTCTTGTCTCCACAATGGTGCATGTTTATTACATATCCCACTTTGGCAACAATCTAATTGATTTGGTAAGAAATAACAACGCAAACAATTTATTGAAATAATTTCTTTTTTCTAATTTTTTCCATTTCATTTTACTTCATTTCTTAAGAAAATTTTATTTTATAAAAACTTCATCAAATAAAATTTTGTTTAATTTTTTTTAACTTCGTTATTCATTAATTAGTATTGCTTAGAGTAAGTTGTTTTTTATTTCATGTAAATCGAATTTGAATTAATTTTGTTTTATCTCTTTTTATTTCTTTTTAATTTTATATGTTTCAATTTTTTTATTTTATTGTAACTAAATTATTAAGTTTTTTATGTATATTTATTTAATTTACTTTTGTTTGAATAATTTTTTCATTTTGATTTATAACATTTGATTTCATTTATTAAGTTTTTCAATTTAATTTTCAATTTCTTTTTTTTTTTATTCAAATATTTTTATATTTCACTTTTTAATGTATTTCTTTTCTTTAATTCTTTTTATTTAATTTAAGTCATTTTAATTTCGTTCGAATTTTAAATTTTCCTTGGTTTTAATTAGTTGGTTTACATTTAAAAGCTTTTTTTTTATTGAAAATATATCTTAATTGTTAACTTTATTATTTTAGTTAATTTTTTTTTATTTTTCAAACTTCTTTGGTTTTATTTTATTTTATTTTATTTTATTTTATTTTATTTTATTTTATTTTATTTTATTTTATTTTATTTTATTTAATTTAACTTAATTTTATTTTATTTTATTTTATTTTAATTTATGTTATTTTATTTTATTTTAATTTTTTCTTATTTTATTTTATTTTAATTTATTTTATTTTATTTTATTTTATTTTATTTTATTTTATTTTATTTTATTTTATTTTATTTTATTTTATTTTATTTTATTTTATTTTATTTTCTTCCATTTTATTTTGTATTTGTTAATTTTATTTTGGTACATTTAATTTGATATTAAATAATATTACTGCGCTTTTGTCCAACTTTTATCGTATTTCTTAATATTTCCTCTCTCTCATAAAAAGAGTACTGGCATTAGTGATGCCTTCTACAATCATCCTTGGACCAATGCGAAATATAAATATTCGCGCATGTTAGTGCTGCCCATAGCTCGTGCGCAACGGTATGCTCACTTGACAGCTTTTCAATTCTTTGAAATTTCAATGCATAGCTTTAAGTCCGTAAGTAATAAATATTAGTCTTTGAAATATTAGAAATTTTCTAATTTAATTATTCATTTTTGAAATGCAGCTCTGCACCACTTCCTACCAATTCTTCACCCTCATAAGGACTAGTTTGGAGGAAGATTTTCATTAGAAATGACGGAATAAAATTAATTTTTCTTAATGATTGATATCTGTTGACAAATTATGTAAATAAAACAAAGCATTAAAAAATAATAATCTATCTTCATTCAAAACCGAGAATTTTTAAATACTACAACGCCGTCTTATAAATCTGGTTGATAGGAAGAGTGAAACATAGAGAAGTGAGAAGAGTTTTCTTGAGATCAAACAGCTTAAGAAATGGGCTGACATACCACAGAAGTCGGAGACTTTATTGAGAGCTTAAACCACGGATCAGTCTGTAAAACCAAATGTTGAGCGCCGTTGAGAGCCAGTTGAGTACATGGGGACAACTTTTCGGAAGCGGGGTAAAAGGCCACATTGTTGCACTAAAGAAATATCACTTGGAGCCTCTATTTAGCATCAATTATAAAATAAATTACTATTTGAAAGAAGTCAATACTTTAACTGATTTGATTTGATTTGATTCCATCCTACCGTCAGTGCACTTTATCGTAATTTTTCATAATAGATCATTGGGGGTAGAAAGGTTCCTTCCTTCACTAGTATAACTGCCATTTAATTGCCTGGGATTTCATTATGTCAAGGTAAGTAGACAACCGACAACTGAGAGTTTGTTGCGTTTATTGCTACATTTGATGGCCACCTTTGACGTGATACTATTACATTGTTGAGATCTCATGGCAGCTTGGATGGCGGAGTATGTTGTAACCGATTGTCCTTTCCGTCAATTTGGGCAACCACTCGGCGGCCTATATGATTGCAAAGAGTTCCGCCTCGAAAACGCTGCAGTAGTCTGGCAGTCGCAAGGGAGAATAAATTCCGCAGCCCACTTTTCTATCAAACTTCGAACCGTTTGTGAAGATAGCTATGGCTCCCTGCTTTTAATTTGCCGTAAAGGTCAATAGAAATGATGTTGAGAAGTGCTCGCAGTGCTTTTGTGGGAGTTGATGGCAATGCTCCTGTTACTAGGATAGCAGCTCACTATTTGCTCCTGAAAGCAATTGATCAAGTGCCGTTCACCGAACAGTGACGCCGCAGAATTGGATTGGTCTAACTACCGATAAATCCAGTACAAGATCCCGAGTCTTAGGGATATTTGTCTGTTATGACAAATTCGTCATCGTATGCAACCACACCACGGCTTGAGCTGTGCAGTTTCCTAATCAGTATGTTTTGCTGCTAGACACCACAGGAGTGGTGCTAAAACTCTTTGAGGGATGCTTCTGCTTGTGTGTTTGGTATCTGATGCTGCTGGCGCTGCCTATCTCTGCGAAGATGGTCCTGTTTCTCAGAAGAGATTCTACAAGATTCACTATGGGCTGTTGAAGACCAATGCTTGGAGAGCCTTTATTACGAATACCGGGAGAATGTTGTTGATAGCCTCATACATGTCGAGGAAGATACCAAGCATAAACTACTTCAAGGCGGCTACTTTTTCGATGCAATTATTTAGTATGAATGCTGCCTCCTCGAGATGCTGCTTGGGGGTTGATTCAAGCTTGTATAGCTGTCTAGCAGCCCATAAAAGATTTTTAAGTGGAAAGAGGTAAGGCTAATGGGCCGAAAATACTTAGGATTGATGTGGTTGGCTCTCGTTTATTTTGGTGTAAAAAACTCTTTGGCTCTAGTCCAAGCCGGAGGGTTATATCTTTCGCGCAGGCAGGCTTTGTAAGTTTTGCATAGAAGTGGGGATAAGATGTCCATCTGTATTTCGGCGGGTGGGATACCATCTACGTGTAGTACTGGATATTTAAAGAACTGGAATGACTTATCGCCCATTCCATCCTCTTTGAGTAAAACATTGTTGTGCTCCATTTTAATATTTAAGATAAGAAAAATAATTACATAATTACTCAATTTGCCACACGTTTCTGCAAATAATTAGTTGCAAGCCGCCAACTGGTGCAGTTTCCATGTTTACCAATATTAACTTCATTTAAACTAATTATCTTTATATTCCTTTTCTATAAACATTGTAAATTATCGTATTTTTGTAATTATTTCACTGAGTGTAAGCATTCAAATTGTAAAAGACATGTACCACGAGAAACGAGACATATAAGTTGATTAATTTTTATTGAAAATTAATATTTTTCAGTCACCATACAGCATTTTGCAAGGTTATTCGATAACATTTTTTTTAGGAAATCTTAATTTATTGTGTACGAAATATCAGTCCGTAAGTTCTCAAACGCCGCTAAATCGGATGATTTATGCTATTTTATCAACTCGATAATTTAAACAGATGAACGCTCCGATGTAAAATTATAATATTTATATGCATCATCGGACCGTGAACCTTGTCCAATTTGTGATGTGCGGTTTGATAATTCTTCGGCAATGTAAAGACTTCATTTTTTCTAAGCCGCCTCGTATAGGTTGATAGAGTCGCTTTCTATTGGATGAATGCATAAGTTCGTGCCCGATTCCGCTGGATGCCGTTCGAATCGTTTGAGAGTGGCGCTCGTGAAAGAAATATATACATTTTATATAACGTTGGAAATGTGACAGTCCGAACTATAAATCAAGCATAAAATAACTTCATTTTGATTTGAGTTGCTTAGTGAAAAGACGTATGGAAGATGGACAACGAAAACGATCATATACGTCATATTATGTTATACGAACTCCGCAAAGGAAAAACAGTAGGCGCTGCAACAAAAGATATTCGCGAAGTTTATTTGGACCGTGCTCCAGCACTCCGCATAGTAAAGAAATGGTTCGCGAAATTTCGTTCTGGAGATTTTAACCTCGAAAATCAACCTCGCAGTGGACGGCCTTCTGAGCTTGATGACGATGTTCAAGGCAAATATTCACTCAAGCGTTGGATGTTTCCGTCCGAATGCACTTTTATTAGTATACTTTTCACCATATTGATGCTTGCTTTAAATATCGCACGGCAATTTGAGCCGGTAGAACATATTATTTGTCAATCTCGGTTTCCGTGGGACATACATTTTCTTACAAAGAAAACATTGTTTGTTAAGTTCTCTTTCTGTATTTTCATATAAAAGGTAAATATGCCATTTGCCTTTCAACAGTTGTGTTTTGAGCTACAGTTGTCGTTGAAGTACTCAGTCCCCGCAATGCCACTAAAATTGGCCAACAACGAACCCGCTGCGACAATACAAGATTTCGTGGGCATACCACTGTTTCTGCTAACCTTTATGGGCGTGAAACTCTTCAAATGGACTCCTGAAGAAGCGTCGAGCAAACGACAACTGATAATGCTCGGCGTATTTTGTGTATTTGCGACATATAATTTCGCCACAATGATACTCTACATTATGTACGAGCCATTGAATTCCTCACTCGACATAACGGAAATCATCTTATTCTGGGGTTTCTCACTCAATGGCATGATGAAGCTGGCAATAATGATATTATATCGCAATGAATTGAAATCTATATTGCGCGGCTTGGGGGCACGACATCCACAGACGGCAGAGGAGCGTAGTATCTATCGCTTGGTGCCGTATTATAATAAAATACTCATCTATAATAAATATCTAGCTGCATGGCATTTGAGCATAACAACACTCTTCAGCTTTCATCCCTTAGTGGCTTCAATACTGGGCTACATTTTCCGTCGCGATAGCAGTGACGGCTACGATTTCACCTTGCCCTTTATGATGTGGTACTACTATGACACGACTAAGCCCATTCTCTATATCTTCAGTTATGTTGTACAAACTTTTGGTGCTTTCTGGATGTCGCTACTCTTTTTATCTGGCGATTTATTGTTGATATCACTGGTGCATTTGGTGAATATGCATTTTGATTATTTAATCCGGCATATTGAGAGCTTTCAACCGAATGGCACTGATGAGGATATGAAAGTGTTGGGACCACTGTTGGCATATCATCAGGAGATACTGGAGTAAGTGTGTGTGGAAAATAGTTAATTTTAAGACTTTTATTGTTGTATTGTTTTACGAATTTATTGCAGTTATGCTGAGCGCATCGACTCCACATTCAGCTTGGGCACGCTGCTCAACTATGCGGGCTCCTGTTTGGTACTCTGCCTCATCGGCTTGCAGATTGTTTTGGGCTCTGAATTTTTAAAGGTTGTCAAATTTATCGCCTTTCTTGTTTCCACAATTGTGCAGGTCTTTTTCGTCTCCTACTTTGGCAATAATTTAATGGATTTGGTAAGTAATAGGTAAAAATAAGTTTAGATTGAAAATTATTGGGAAAGAAATTCTTTCTCTTGAAACTACAATAATTCAAAATGAATTTCAGAGTATCGGCATGAGTGATGCCTTCTACAATCATCCCTGGTATGATGGTAATTATAGATATTCACGTATGTTGGTACTGCCCATCGCTCGTGCCCAGCGTTATGCCCATTTGACGGCTTTCAAATTTTTCGAAATCTCAATGGATAGTTTCAAATCGGTGAATGTGTAGTAAAATATTAATTTATTTATGATTAATTAATTTCTTATTAATTATAAAATAGCTCTGTACCACTTCATATCAATTTTACACCCTCTTAAGGACGAGCTTGGAGGAGGAAGCTGGTTGAAACTTAAGAAGCTGAATAAAATTTCTCAAACAGGCACTTGGACAGAGGAATATTTTTTATTAGCACTTTTTACTCCACATCGAGCGCTGATCTTGCTAACAATAAAACAAAAAATATTAGAGTTTCTGAAGGCTCGGGTTCAAATCCCGGTGCCACCAACATCAAAAAGTTATGGAAAATTAATTTAAATAAACAATTCAGTTAAATTTTCTAATTACGGTCGTTCTTGGCAAGGAATGTTAAGTAAGATTCCAGAAAACGCTACCAGTTCAACTACACGTAGTGGCATGATTATACCCAGCAAATTCACAAATGAATACCAACATTACACCAAAGATAAGAGTTGAGTTCAGTTGCTGCGGCTGCTGGTCATTACCAAAAAACTTAGGCCAATGTGACCATTGTGATACTGCTGTGAGGCTGCTATCTTTACCTTCTCAGGTGTTTAAACCATTTCGTTTGCCTCAGAAAAGGTACAAGCTCAGCGAGGCAGTCAAAGAAGTGCCGCCCACAGATGTCAGGGTTGTACAGTGACAGAAGTAATGTTCAATAGTCTCCTCCTATTTTTCGCCTCTACAGCTCATTAGAGCGGTAGTCCATTCTTCCCATCCCATGAAGCAGCATTAAACTGTGGGCTGTTATTAAGTCTGTCGTTATATTAATGGGGAACCGGTCTCCAACGATAAATTGTTTTGATTTTTTCGATTCCAGCTTTGATCATAACTGTCTGCTCACATTACACATGATCTTATATAGCAACCTTCAGTCTGCTTCTTTGGCAGTGGACGAATGTAACAATGCATCGTTTGTATGTTTTAGTTTGGATAAAAGGGTTCCTTCTCTCGCCCGTTCATCTGCCATGTAATTGCCTGGAATGTCACTATGTCAAGGCACCTAGACCACGACTGTGTTACATTTAGTCGAGAGTTTGTTCCGACTGTCTTTACATTTTATAGCAATCTTTGATGTGACAATATTGCATACATCATAGAGATCTGATGACTGTCGGATTGTAGCGTAATTGATTGTCCTGTTGCCGTAGATTTGAGGAGCTACTCGCCGACTTCCATGACTGTAAAGAGTTCTGCTTGAAAGTCGCTGCAGGGGTCTTGTAGTTTCATGCACATATTTATTGAGAGCATCGGAGAGTAGATTCCGCTGCTAAGACTATGCAGAACTCAAAGAGAAAGAGAGGATAGAGTCGAGCAGCAAGTTGTATCCAAAATCAAATAACTGAAAAGTGGGTTCCGAGGTTTGGTTATGAATCATCCAACCACAGCGATGAACACTTCCAGAGTAAAAATTCCATAGTCCAACCAGGCAGTTCTTTTGCAGATCTTAAAGTTCCAGTTGGAAAATGCGACCACCGCAAATTACCATAGTATTCATCCTCTGCACTATTCCTTGCATTAAAGGATCTGCAGCAGATATTTTACAGACCGTTTTTCTGTTTGCAGTCGCAGGGTCGACAGGGCAGGTCCAGACCTCTTCATAAGAATCCGTCAGCCGTTCAGAGGCAGCGTAAAATAAGCTGTGAAGTCCATCCACTTGTAGGACAAGCCCACATCGCAAAGTGAAAGATGAGCTTACCAATTATATGTATATACGAATATATTAGACCTAGCAGCCGAAAATGTGAATAGCTCCAGATACTGTAGTAGTCAATCATGCAGTCAATTTTGGTTTTGTTGATTTCGTGCCACCGTGTGAATATGCATTTGTCGAAAACGTTGATAAAGAACAGAAATCGTCGAGTGTGATCTTCATCAGAGTACTGATTAATTTACTCAGCAACCAAATATTGTACAATAAAGAATTTAGAACCGCTAGAAGAAGGCTGAATACACAACAAAATGGACCAAATTTCCATCGGCGAATCGCTGTTAAATCATAACAAAATCGACTCATTTGCAAAGCGGATGGTGACTGGTGATGAAAAGTGCAGTACTTACAGCAACGTTAAACGAAAACGTTCATAGTCGATGGGCAGTGGGTCGGTCTCCAAGTCTGAAATGATGGCCACGAAGGGTTTGCTTTGTATTTGCTGAAATTCTCAAGGAATCTGCCACTATGAGCTGCTTTCTTATGGCCAAACTCTGTACTGTTAGCAATTGGACTGTCTGAAGGAAACAATCGCCCAGAAACGCCCAGCTTTGGCCAATAATAGAGAAATTGTGATTCGTAAGGACAACGTCAGACCACGCACATCGTTAGTGACTCGTCAGAAGCTTCGAAAGCTTGGTTGGGAGGTTCTAATGCAACCAACACACTAAGTGTTTATTAGCTCTTCCTGCCTATGGCGAATGATTTGGCTAATAACGCATTGGGCTCAAGAGAAGCCTGTGAAAATCCTATATTTATTTCGAAGGGAAGGTGTTTCTAGGAGAGAGGCTGAATGACAGTACCACTAAAACGGCAAAAAGTTATCCAGCAAAACGATGCATATTTGACAAAAATCGGATAATTCTAAAATAAAAAAAGGTCTTAAAATTAAGCCGAAAGTAATAGCTTTATCTTTTCTGGTCCAATATTTAAAGACGTAAATTGGTGTAAGAGCTCTACCGAAAATCACTTTGGCAATTATAAAACGCCATTGAAAACCCAATTATATTAGCATCTTGAGGCTGAGTGTTCATGTATTTATTTGCCTGTGCTTTGGAAGTATAAAAATAATTGAGATCAAAAATATCAGTTCTGCTCAAAATTTTTTAGACAATTATTTATTATTGTATTTTGAATGCATAAAAAATTTTAATTTTTTTTATTTGAGTTTTAATTTTTTTATTTTCATTAAATTTTTTTTATTTCAATTTTTTTTTTAATTTATTGTTTTCTTACACATTTTATAAGCATACCAGCCATGTCCTTGTCACACTCGACTGCCCATATAAAATATTCAAGTTATTCTTTAATTTTACTCATGTTTATTACTGCACTGAGAGAGTATGAGCGGCGCTACGCTAAGCTTTATACGCCGCCGCCGCTGCCGCTGCCGCAACATTTCAAGCATAAAAAAGAATTTGCATAATTTCCCAAAGCGTGAAACCGAAAGAATGTCGCATACATTTATTTAGTTGCTGTTCGTTGCTACTCTGCTGGACTTTGCGCTTTTGTTTGGAAATTCAAAAAAAAAAATTAAAAAAAGTATGAAAAAAATTTAGAGTAAAAATATTATAAAGCCACAAAATGGAAATGCTAACGCGTATGACCAAAACCATTTCAACGCGCTACAATTGGTAATAAAGCGACACTTTTAGCCGTTATTTTCAGGGAGAAAAAAACAACGAAGTGGAGCAATGTATTTGTAGAAAATACTAAAATGAAATGCATAGAAATAATATATATACAAATAATGGGCTCTATTTTTTTCATACCATATTTTATAACATAATTTTGCTAAACTTTTATAAATTTTGAATTTTTTTTTGCTTTGAATGCTTGATCCTGTGTCTTTACGAGCATTACGCGTGCATTTGTCCCTTTATTATCGTACACACACACACACACACACACACACACACACACACACACACACACACACACACAC